TTTGTAGAGTTGGTTTGGTGTCGTGTTCTCGACATTATGTATAATATCCGTAGAAGATGCAGTGTGGAATAAAAAAGCTTATTGGTACTGATGAAGAGTCTACAGTTGAGAGTAATTGCTCAAAATCATCTTCTTATTATGATTGTAAATGGTTTTTCGTGCTTCATTTATCAAAAAGTCCATAGCATTGCTGAAAGGGGACTTGTAGTATGTATATATATTTATTTTCTTTTCATCTGTAAAAGATATGAATGTACCAGAACCTATGATAAGAATTTACTACGGACAATAAATGTATAAGTTTTCTGTGAGTTATATAACACGTGCTTGCAATTGATTCATCAAATCGCAGAAATATTACAAATTTGAACTTCTATTTTAAATCCTCTTTCCACTTTTACGATATATTTTAAATTAGCCTTTAAATAATTTAGATTACTGTATAAATTGACACTTAGAAGTTAAATATCAACTTACCAATCTATCAATTGGAGTTAACAGCAATATTCCAAACGAATTTCCGTTTAAGGAGATGAACTTATAATTGTAAAGCAATTGATCGAACTAATTCTTTTACAATGTTGATTTATTACTCCTATGGGTTATTACATCTATGGTTTTTCATCTACTTTACATCTTGTTAATTATCAATTTCATATCTTTTCGACTTTTTAATTCCGTTTTGCTATGTTCCTTGCCAAAGAAGCGTAAAATATATACCTGCTAATTCCCAGAAGACACTGCGTCAAGATCTTGTAATGTTATTGATGAAATAAAGATTTTTTTCAATCTGGATTAGCAAACTACAATATGGAATTGTAGTTTTTTTAAACATTAGCGTGATTATGCTTCCATTAGAACTTTCTTGTTTCTTTGATCTATAATAATTACATTTCTCTCAGAGTCCAATATATTCGACCATGAATAATTGAATTATGGTGTATGTTTACCTTTCCTGTCGTAAATTGACTATCAAATATTTTAATTGACGTGTATGACCATTTTTCTGTACCTGTATTATCTACCTTTATGTTTGATTGTCTTCCATGTATACCATAATGGTGTGTTTTTATGTTTGCTCATTAGTGTCAAATTTACAAATTTAGAATCGGCTACAGAAAAGTGTACAAATAAAAGGCAAAAGTAGTTTACTAAATATAAGATCTTGAAAATCCATTTGGAATTTACCAATTAAGAGATAAAACATCAGGGAAGCCCATGAACTCCAAATTGGGTGAGATCAATTGTGTCATCAGGAAAAGCGTCTCAACCCCTACGCCTGTCCGATTCAGTCAAACATGTCAAAAAGGAAATTTCAGATAAGACATCTATTCTGAGTCAACTGTCAAAGACCATGATAAAGTAGTTCGTCAATTTAGTCGTTCCTGCTGATAGGGTTATTGTGTAATTGTAAATATGTATATATTGTTAGAATACACTCGTGCATGAGGAGAAAAGACTATTGTTTTTCTAATCGGAATTTGACAAAGAGATCCAGATATTCAGGAGATTCAGTATCCTTAATGTCAAGGTCACTGGAATGTATAACATGTTGGCAATCACAAGATTTCCAATGAGAAAACTATCCAACAGAGACAAAATAACATGGACTTAAGCAACTACATATCATCGTATGGCGTGCACAAAAATTGTTAGCCTGGTATCTTTGATAAAAAACAAATGTGTAAGCTATTAACCCCGACAATACAAAATCTTTACTCAAAGAGAAAACCAACGGGTATGGTTTAAAATATCCTTGACAACAAACGAAAAAAAATATGGTAGAGATCAAACAACGGAATCCATTGAATTTCATGTTCCTGACTTTGGATTAACACATACAAAATGTGGCGAGGTGAAACATGTTTGCGATCTCTCCTCTTGATCTTGGACAGTGTTGTTACAGCACATCACAAGAACAAACTATAAAAATTAGTTGATAAGGACTTCACTCATCAGATTGGCATTAAGCACAAAACTCAACTAACAAACAAATGACTAAAGATACAAAGTGTCGATCTAAGAGTTACTGAAAGATAGCTAAAACCTATTACAACTAATAAATAAACATGTTCAACCGGAATTAAATACCAATTATTACAAATGCAACAGATTAAGAGTGAAGATGTCATACACATTTATATATACATGCCAAATTATAGGTATAAATAGGATATCGGACCATAAGTGTTCATACCTGTATAGCTCTATTACAGAGTTTGTTATAAGGTTTTGAAAGGTATAACCTAAATTCCAAACAAAGAAGAGGCAATAGATACCAAAGGGACAATCCAACTCATAAGTCGAAAATAAACTTAGCCATAGCTTAATTGACAAAGACTAACAGACATACAACAGTACTCAAAACACAACACAGAAAACTAACGAATGAGAAACACGAACCCCACTAAAACTGGGGGTGATCTCTGATGCTCCTATAATATTTGTATTTATGAAAGAATTTAGTTGAAGTTTCAAGTTAAGTGCGAAAACGAAATTCCTGACAATGAATTATTAGTTGTACATGAATTACTTTTGTTGAAATCTAAAACGCGTCACTACATACACGGACAAAGCAAACAATTTGGAAAAACATAGTACACACCGTATAAAGTGGCCAACGACAAACGACCATGCAAAAAAAAAAAGAAATCGTCTCTTTTGTTGTTAATTTTATCTTATAGCTACTCATATAAAACTAAAAAATCAAAATCAAGGAAAGAAAACTTTTTAGTGTTTTTATTATTTTTATATAAAGCCAATTCCCTTTGAGAAAATTTCAGCAGTATAATTAAATAAATGTTGATTGTCCAAAGCAAAACTATTGCCCAGTCGCTTTCTTTTTTGTCTTTTGAAATATAGTTTCAATATTACAAATACATCTGGCATTCACGATATTTTGAGTCGAGCGTTCAATGTAGAACTAGGTGTTATAAAACAAGAAGAGTGTTTCCAATTTTAAAAGTCAGTGTCTCGACATGTACACTCTTTTAAAAGTTAAAAGGTATCTTTTTTAGTTTTCATCAATTATAAACTTAAAATAGCTCACAGTCATAACAAATTGACATTCTCTGAAAATCATCGAAACCACTTGAACCCAAACATTTTAAAGCCAAGTGTGTATGAATGATGGACTAGTTGAGAATCTATATGACCAAAAGGGGCCCAAAACGAATGGCCAAATCCACATAAGGTCAATTTTGCCTTAGGGTGTTGGAACCTAATTTTTATAATACATATGTATTATAATAAGTTATCAAGGAAAACAGCAGTACTTCATTTGGTTTTGTGCTTCTAGTTTGTGCTACGTTGCCCGCAGTGTAATATACCAAATTGATTTGCATTATCATCAACCACAACAACGATTAAATATGTTGGTACATAAATGAAATACAACATCTTTGTTGTTGTATATTTTATACTTTTTACGCATACATTGCGAAACACTTCTGTAACGTGTAACATGAAATACATCTATTGTATTGCAATGGCAATCGAAAACGCAGAATAAGTCTGCTGTTCACTAAAGAAAAAACAGTTGTTTGTAAAATAATCGGGAACACAGATCTTTTTGTATCTGTCGTACAGATAGCCAGTAACAGGATTTGAAGCTCCATATCGTACATATCAAGATATATATTACCTGAAATATTTATCTGTTCATTTTTATATGGTCATCGATCTTTCTAGAAGACAATTCACCATTAGTATTGGAATCTCTCTTTGTGAAAATTGAATAGACCTAATCAAACCTTTGATAAATTAGATACATTGTCTTTGAAGTGTGTAAAGTAATAACATCGTTCGTGTAATTTGATATCTAATGAATATTAACTTTAACGAGAAACCATTATTATATCTTATATTCTTTGTAAAAAAAGGAAATGAAATTTCTTTCCATATTTTGTATTTTAGAAATACAACAGTTTGTATTTGATATACTATCAGGAACATACCATTGAACGGAAATATAAAATTTTGTAAACAAAGAAGTTTATTATTTAAGTAAGCATACTGTGATGAATAAGGTTTTTTTTATAAACTCGTCAAAATAAAACGCACGAATAAGAAAAAAATGCATAACAAATTTTTGTTTCGAATTAAAGAATCTGACTCATTGTATCTGAATTTCGATACAAACACGAGTTCATAACATCAAATAGTCACTACAATACAGGCATAATATATCGAAAAAAAGATTCAATCGTGTTACCTATGTGTGTATACGTGCAAGTGTGCATTTCATGTTGTTTTCTGTACATTGCACTAAACAGTTTACATATTATTTAGGAAATTCCATAACGATTACTTTTATTTATGTTTGCACATTTCTGCCCTGATTTTTGCTCCAGTTAATGTCGTTATACTTTCATTCAAGGAAAGATACACAAGTGCTACTACTTGGCTGGAAATACCATCGAGGACGAAACCTCCACCAGCAGTGTCATCGACCAGTGGTTGTTAGTAATAAAATCATCACGTAATCGATATACATCCAGGAAAATAATAAGAAGATGTATGATTGCCAATGAGACAACTATCTACAAGTGAACAAACGGCGTGGTTGTTAACAACAATAAGTCACCGTACGGTATGATCCACAGCAACAAAACAACGACAATTATTGAGTAACATATAAATTGACAGTCTTCAGGCTTCCAATAGGCAAACAAATAAGACGTTATCAAACAATGTAACTATATCTTAAGTGTTGATACGTTTAACAAAAAGGGATAAAATACCAAGAAGAAGTCTTCGACCATAAATCAAAGGAAAAACACCATTGCCAAAAAGAAAAACCAATCCGAAAAAATCTATTTCCAAGGGATACATTATCAGGCATCTAACAAAATGCATAAATGCAGTGAATTCAAATATAATCAATAAAATCAACCGGCCTGTTCAAAATTCTAACATACATCTCTTTTCAAGTTTTCCTCAAGTTCAGCATACTAGTATCAACTTTTTTTGCAAATGACAGTAAATAAACAAAGACTTACCTGCAAACAAAACCTGAAATTCTTCTGTTACGTTAACATATTTCCAAAATATTTCTGCAGTTAGTTCTTCGTATGTCGTTGGCTTGTATGTTAGAGACGTGTTTTTACCCAAAGATGAATCGGTCTTGCCACATATACTTGAAATTACCCCTACAAAATTAAATTCAAAATTTTAATCAAGTTTACAGTTTTTAAAAACTATCATAAATAAAATGTTCGGCATATTTATCGTAATATAACAGTTTCAACAAATTAGAGATAAGCCTCTGAAAATATTGATCTGAAAACGCATTTTGATTGAACACTCTCTTGAGTTGAATTTTAAGTTTAAATATTTATATACTGTGTTGAAACACAATGTTTGGCTACAATAGGCGGGTTTGGTATCTTAAATTGTTAAAATGATAGTCTTTTCGTTGATGTGAAATATTGTTACATATCATTCTTTGCATGTCATGCTGTCTTTATCTGTTTGCATGACATGACCAGAGTATGATTTTATTCTAACCATTGCCCACCTCCCCAAAAACTATTTAACTTATTTTGGAGAAACGTGTTGTGGTCATGCCTTCGGAAAATGCCCGTACCGTCAGGAATGTGGCAGTTGATTTTCATTTGTTACGTTACTTGATAGCGTTTGATTTTGTCAGTTTATATGGACTTCTTGGAGTTCGGTATTTTTGTTATACTTTTTCGCACTATAGGTGTTGCATATTACCATTGTTTGTTGTTCCAGTCATTGTTTATTTTTTGAAAGTTATTCTTTTAAATCAACCATAAGAAATAAGAATTTAAAGAAAGAAGATTTACCCCTGATTCTTGTTTTATAGTTTAAACATGAAAACACAACATATTACAATTTTTGTGTGCACGTGTCTTCAACAACAACCCCCCACCCGCTCTCTTTTCAAAATTAAATCCCAAAAAATTAAATACATAAAAGGGCTTTCAGCAGAATATTCAAACCTTTTTAATAAATATTTATATCCTTAAATATCTTTATATCTGACTTTTTGGACAAGTTGCCAGAAAACTGCTGTTTGCTTTTAACTACAGTGAATAGTTGACAATTTTCGGTTAACCACTAAATGACAGAAATGTAAAACAAACTGATTTAAGCTCATTGCTTATTCATCCATAAACTTTTAAAATTGTTACTGATAATTGTTATATGTCATTTGTTATCAAAATAGAATATCTGTCCTACTGTATTTACGTTAATTATTGTATTTCCTTGCGTCATTAAGAGAAAAAAAACGCTTTGATTTATTATAATAATGCACGAATATTTGTTTTATAATTATTAAAAAAAACAAGTTCAGTGATGCGTGATTTATATAATTGCACACATCAACTATTCTCTTTTAGGTTTCAAATGAAGCCATTTAAATTATGAATTTGATGAAAACTAGCGCACTGTTAAAAACATGCACTTACCATTTTGTTACAATTTGAATTAATAATATTTCGATATGCAGTTTCGGTAGAAACTTTAAATGTATTATACATTATCCAAATTATGTATTGTGACTACCATGCTCGGATAACACTGTTCTGCAACTCCTTGACATGACTCAAATAAAATTGTGTATTCGAGGTTGAGGTATCCGTTGCAATTGATGTTACAACGCTTGACTGAGATGGCCCAATTAGTGAGATGGGGTTGACGTTGGTGGATGCGTCTATAGAGTTCGTCCCTAAGTTCTTCTATAGGATTTAAATCCTGCAACTTAGAGGTCTATGGCAATGCATTAATGATGTTTCAGATTTGGGAAATCTATGATTAACTTCGCTGTATGGGGCCTGCTGAAATATGTTTAAGCATTGCATTTGGTTGTTTGACAGCCAAATTTTATACTCGACATTTTTATGAGTAACCATGAGTTTCGAGTGAAATATATAAATAGGTTCTCGGCACTGAAACTGCAACCTTCATTTATCAGGTCTTTCAAAATACATTTGGTGAGCTATCAAATTGCTTGTACTAGCATTTTGTATTTAAAGTACACATTTAATAACCCATTGCTTTACTATTTAGTCTTGATATTTGTCTATTCATTTTGTCAAATTTATTCATGAAATAAAAAGGATTTATGCATTTTAATTCTTTAGACTTGTAAATGTATATCTAGATCAAAGTTATACAATACTTAACATTTTGGAAATTAGAGAACCGACCTTCAACCTAACGACACAACTTTTTTCGCGCAAATAATTTGAATTATTAAAAGTTTCTGTAATGTGAATTCAATAGTCATCTTATTAATATCTTTACAGGTACAACATTATATTATTTGAAATATATTTAGACCTTTTTAGAGGCAAAATGACCCGTATCTCGTTACTTCATTTTGTCATAAACATGTTCATAAATGTTTCAACAGATTTGAAATTTGTTATTTCATGCTTTTTTCATAAACGGCTTCAGACTAGCTGTCAAAATTATATTAGGTTAAACGATAATATATTATAAAGTCACTTCACAAACGGCAGTTTGGAACCGGACACTACGTCATTGAAATATGAGATTTGGATTTAATGTTTCACTTTAAGTCAATCAACAAATTTAATTTTCAAAACACATCTGCAAAGTTTTTCCCGAGGATATCATTAGCTCTGTAGTCAATACTTCAGTACTGATATGATTTATAATTAAACTCTCTATAGATTCCGAAATTATCAAGAAACTAATGTTTCAACTCCTTCAGACATTAAATTATTGGCTATTATTTTAAGGTCATATTTAGTCATATAGCTCGTCAAATGTTTCGGTTCTTATACATCCTTGGCTTTCATATATACGACTTTCAGCGTCCCTGATAAAGGTTAATCCAGAAAAGCGTTTCGAATGCATGCGCATTATAAAGTGTTGTTTACATTTTTAAGGACTATGATAGACTAAATTAAATTGTTCCTATGGTGATTGGACCAGGAAATTTTAACTATAGTTAACGTTTTACGCTATTCTGTTTTCCCATCTTATTTGGAATAAAAATCTTTGCAGCAGAAAGATCGGATTTAATACGAAAAGGTGGAATTTGAAGACCGCATGTACCTTTACTTTGGAAATTAGGGGATATGGAGTATATGTCTTCGAAACACCTACCTTACGACATAAAATAAAAGATGTCTAGAGGTCAATATATGGTGTCGATAGATTTTTACAATATGACATGCTCTAAATCAAACCAAGTAATAAAATAGTTTTACAAATGTATATGTGGTATGTGTTTGCTTTTTCGTTGGTCGAATTTGACCCTCCTAAACTGTCTTCTGTGCATTAAAAGCACATTCATTCAGAGCTAATTTCAATGCAAAGCCATTTTGTTTTAAACTTGAAATCAAAAGCTCAATCATGGTATACTATATTTATTTTAAAGTTCACTGTATCACAGATTGATATTTATAACATTAAATTTGTTTTATATCGTTACTTTAAGCTGTCGAATTCTTACTTAACAAACTATTTCCCTGGTTCTTTTGAAGATCATATTGATTGCTGAAGGTTATTTAAATACTTTGTTCTATTTCCAATGAATCTATAAAAAAGAATCTACATTTGAAGATTTTTTTAAATATTTTTCGTAACTGTTATTCTAAAATTGGACTTTTCAAATATTACACTTGATCTTATATAACGTGTGCTATTCAAATTTGTGTGCAGTATATTTAATTGTTTGTGTTTTGAGATGCTATTAATGTCTTCCTCATAATATAGTTAATTGTTGTGTAGAATATGTTCAAATTTTACTTTTTATTGTTTTTTTTTTCATGTTATTAGCTATAAGTTTAGTATAAAGATTTCACGTAGTCAGCTGCATCAAAGGCTAAAGCCATTTTGGACTGTTTAAACTTTTGTTGTCACAGATGTGCTTGCAATATTTTATATTATGATACTTTGATAATAGTGATAACAATTAACGACATTGTGACTAGGAACAAGTTCTTTGAAGGCAGAAATATGTTGTCTGAACAGAATTGAATTTACCGCAGTAGATACGAATGAAAATCAACTGAACGATTGAAAATGACTTTAAAATGTTTAGTTAAGTTTTTTAAAAGCTGCTCAGATCAAAATGACCGTTTAATTCAAAATTCGGTTACTATTGCATACATTCAGAAAGACGATATTGAAAAAAAACTTTTTTTCAATTTTATCACAAATATGGATTAATTGTAGTGATCCCGTCTGTCGAAATTTGATCAGCTAGTATATCATACCAAGTGTTTTGGGTTGAAATTATAATTAGTGATATAGGTTTTTATTTTACTTAAAAGACTTAATGGCAAAGGTTAAATATTAAACTGTTGCATCGCATCTATTTTTTCCTTGGTGGGGGTTGGAATGGTATCAAAAAGTAAAATAGCAAAAATACCGAACTCCAAGGAAAATTCAAAAGAGAAAGTCCCTTATCAAATGCCAAAATCAAAAGCACAAACACATTAAACGAATGGAAAACAACTGTCATATTCCTGACTTGGTTAGGGCATTTCCTTATGAAGAAAATTGTGATTTAAACCTGGTTTTATAGCTAGCTAAATCTCACACTGAGTTTTCTTATTTTATTTGAAAGAAAACACATTTTGTGTTTAAAAAATTAACGCAACCTCACTAGAAAAAAATCGAATATTTTATGTAAAAGTAAAACCTTTTATTACGATGATATATGAGAAATACAGCTATTAGCTACGTTTAAATTAAATATGTTTTTTCAGCATACAATTAAATATAATTCATTGTTTAAATGACCAAAAAATATGGATTTCATCGATACTGCTTGGGAGAGAATTTCTCTGATTTGAGGATACCATTCAAACATATTACCTAGTATTTAGTTTCAAATAAATATTTATGATAGATATAGACTCACTCAAACAAACAACAATTATCTATTGTAAAGAATTCGTAATCGACCACCTACATGTAATCGGTGGAAGCACCAGAATATAAATGTGCAATCTATTAAAAAAAAGTAAAATAACAAAAACATCGAACTCCAAGGAAAATTCAAAACAGAAAGTCCTTTATCAAATGACAAAATCAAAAGCTCAAACACATCAAACGAAGGGAAAGCAACTGTCATATTCCTCCTGACTTGGTACAGACATTTCCTTATGTCGAAAATGGTGGCTTAACCCGGAATTAAACAACTGCGTACTTGCTCGGCAAACTTCGGAAACACAATGATAATTATATTTAGGGGGAGTGGCTACAAAAGAATTTGCGGTTCATTTCACAAAAGAAATTTT